ATACCACTTATATTGTTAACGGAGCTGGAGCCAATCCCAGTTTGTCCAGTCTGGGATACTGTAATATTTGTTATATTTAAATATAAAAGGGTTCATTTTAGGGTAAAGAAAACCACAATTTATACAATTTAGATAATTACACATTAGTGAAAACATCACTGGGATTAGTTTTACAATCCATTTCTGCCAATAGATCCTTTTCACCTACATCCTACACACTGAAGCTGGAAGTGTTTTAAGGTCGTCCCCCTCTATGTAAATTGCCCTGGGATAATGTAACATATATTAAAAATTAATTGAATTAAATCCAATTAAATCAAATTAAATGCCGCATTGGATGTGTGCGCTGCGCCTTTAACCGGGGCCAGTGCTCCAAGTGCGCCTGCGCGGCCACTGTTTAGTTTTTCTGGGACCTGAGGATCCGTGAGGAGCCGCTGCCTGCTCCTGTCACGTCCTAGAGCCGCCGTGCGGGGTTTCCTACTTTTTATTTCCCCCTGGAATCACCGAGACTCTTCCCCGCACGCCTCTGCCCACGATCACCACACCTGGGGGCGCTTTAAATCCCGCGTCGGGACGATAAACAACAGCTCGGAGCGGTTGCTCAATGCCGCCGCCGCCGTCCAGCTCCCACATCTCCCCACATCCATGTTGACTGCGGCAGCCTCCGCGCTGGGTTCTCGGCTACTCACGGCTCGACCTCTTTGTTTCCCCCGCGGACGTGGACCGGCATGAACCGGGGCGGCTTGCGGACGTACCGCCGCGTGTCACCGCGAACATCCCCGCGTCCGTGCGAGGGACTGTCGACGCGTTAAAATGGCTGCGTTCGGAGGAGAATGGTGTTGAACCAGCGCAGCGACGTTTCCCAGCAGATGCAGCGGAGAAGCTAACGTCCCTCTCCCAGACAGCTAGCTCCAGCGTTAGCTCCAGTAGATGCTGTTCGGTGGCTCCTTCCATCAAGAGGCAGGGTGAAGGTGGATTCCTGCAGCTTTTACACTGACACGTAGCTAACGTTAGCCATCTTCTCCAAAGCTTCACGGAGAGGCTTTAACGTGAGTGTGCAGACCACCCCACGAACATGCAGGACTTCTTTGTTGTTGAAGTGAACCAGCCCGAGTAGCCGAGGCTCTCCTCCCCCCGAATCAGCTCCTAAAGGCCCGCAAGGTCTGACTCGGGGTGAACCATGGATCCCGGGGGCACATGTAAGACTCGACTCTTTCTTTTTGGACCCACCACCCACGGTGATCTGCGGCGGGTCAACAGATACCTGGTGGTGTACGTGCTGTTTTACTTTGTGCTGTCCACGCACGCCTCCCCGGCGAAACCGTGCGACAAGAACTGCCTCTCCGGGAAATGCATCAACGGATCCTGCGTCTGCGACCGAGGATGGGTCGGGGACCAGTGTCAGCACTGCCAGGGCAGGTTCAAGTAAGTGGACGTGCACCGGATCTGCAGCTGCACTGTGGTCGGTAAAGGGTCGACCCATCGAATAGACCTGTGTGCACCCAGAAGTTTCCAGTCATGATGAAGTGCATCCACCATTTGTCAATTTTAAATATGCACAAAACAAGGTGACAGTTTCTCCAAACTGTATTATGAAGCCTCTGCAGACAGTTTGATTTGTTATGTGACCTTTCATTTACTTTTTACATGAGATCAGTACACAAACACAGGGGATAAAGCAAAATAGAGCAAATATGTCATGCGATGACTTATTTAAATATCACATACCTTACATGCAATGATGATTATGCAAGATCAGTTTCGTTAGCTAAATAACCACACCATCTCTTACTGCAGTTTATGTGACTTTGGGTTGAAAACTGGAACAAGACACAGAAACTTTACATAACTTTTCAAAATCAAAGTGACTTGACTATTAATGACTTTGATAAGTTTCTAACTTTGCCTGTAGCCTCCCTCAGTCAGTTGTTAGTAATTTATCTCTATTCCCTTTAGGTATAGGGGGGGGGGGGTTCAGTCTGAAAAGTGGTCTAAAAGCTTTGTGTGGGTTCACCAGACACCTGCGGCTTGATTTCTTCAGAATCTATGGTTGATTTTCATGTGACATTCTCTCCCACACAAACAGAAAAAGTGATTTAGTATGTCCGTGGGTGAGCAAATGAAGGAGGGCTGTTATCTCGCACGATCCAATCTGCACATGTCAGCGTGGTGCATACAACCAAGACTCTACCAAGCACTTTCATATTGACATTCACAATGATTGCAAATGAAATCCCTCAACAAATGAATTCCTGTTGTGAGGAGAGAGGAGCTCATGCTGGCACCGGGGAAACATCTGCAGTCAGTTAATTTTGCCCTGAAGCTTATTTGGTAATAGTTCCTGGGTGTTGTTCCTAAATTTGGTCAGCACAAGTGGAATGATGTTGGACAACTCAGATGCCATAACAAAGGTTGGACTAAAAGAAAAGGGCAGGTAAAGAGTGGGACGTAACCAACCCAAGTATAAATGTTCAAACTCTGATCCAAATAATAATAATACTCATCATCATCTTGATTGTGACTTTTGACAACAACATCTCTTAGCCTTTCAATACACCTGAGGTGCACTTTGTGGTTTAGAAGTGCTACGATCACTGTAATTAAGGTTTTGAATAGGTTGTCATCAGCCATGTCGTCAGGAAATAACCGTTAGACAAACTACTGAAATGTGAGACTGTAACTCTTTCCGCAGTCAGTGGAACTCAGACATGCACCCAGGTGAATGCACACTCAAATAGAACAGCACTCAGTAGATCAGAAACCCCTGCAATGCCCCAGCGGTTCCCTTCAAGTCATCCAAGTCGCACAAAATTGCCCACACTCATAGAAATCAGTCTCCCAAATGTGCCAGATTTTTTTTTCTCATCAAGAGACATGATTTGGAAATTGGTGAACACTCTATCTTGCATCGTTAAAGAAAGTAGGGGGGGGGGGGGGGGATCCTGGATCTGCTTTCTGAACCGGATCCACACCAACATTTACCAGGTGCTTCCTTTACTCATACCACATCAGTTTCAGTTTTAGTGTAACGCTGCCAAATAACAGACAAACAAACACAGGTGAGGTAATCACACATTGCTTCCTCTGCACCACAGACGAGATGTCAGCCTTCCTCATAAAGCCTAGTTTATGCTTCTGCGTCACGTCTACGCCGTACCTACGCCGTAGGTCGTTGAGCATTCGAAGTTCTGCGTCGAGGGAACGCGTTGCTCTGCAATTCACCGCCATGCCGCTAGGGGGTGTAGCGGTGTGTTTGTGTGGTTATAGCCGAATCCTCGCTTTTTCTTCCGTAAAGTAAACAACAGTAAACAATGGCGACCGAGGTGGAGCAGCTGTATTTGTTGTTGGAGCTCATCAATATTGAAGAACAAATGCTTATATTGCAAATGTTGAAGCGCAAGCTACAAAGAAAACGTTTGCGGAGTTGGTTTTTACGACGAGGAAGAAAGACCGGAAAAGCAACTGCCGGAACTTACGTTCTGAGCGGACCAATCACAGCGCTTACGGTCCGCGTCGACGTCCGCGTAGTTAGGATTTTTGGGAGGCGCACGTCAGGCTACGGCGTAGGGGTCTGCGTCGACGCCGTACCTACGCCGTAGCTACGGCGTCGACGTGACGCAGAAGCATAAACTAGGCTTAACAATCGTCAGCTCCTGTCCTGAAGGTACAATCGAGAATTTTGTGTCTGGAGTGGAAACATCACAGTGACATGGATATCAGAAACACAGTCTCGATAAGGTTCTCCCAGGATAGTATTTCCCTGCGAAGTCCAAAGTGCACCATGAAAAATTCATCATTCATCTGAAACTCGTTGCTCGCTGCATTCTGCTAATTCTTCACCACGGAAAATCAGCAAAACACAAAGCTAGATGTAGTAACTGTAACTAGACAATGCATAACGAATATGAATCGGATACACCTGAAGCATGATGTAACGCAGGCTTTTCTAATGTGAGTAGTAAACAGAGAAAACCTACATTATTTGACGTACATGTCAAGATTGATATCACATGCATGCGTTGTATTAGATACAATTGAGGTGTGATATAACGCATGCTTTCAATGTGAGGAGTAAACAAAGAGGAAAACTGTCACATTTGAGTGCATGTGAGGGTTTAACATTATCACATGCATTCCATTGCATCTTCATGAGATTACAAAATATCTTCAGTCCTTGAAAGTAATATTACAATTGACATGGACATAAGAGGAAATATCACTCAGTTCCTGCGTCACTCAGACCAACCATTAGATCCCAGTTTGATTTTGTGGAATTTCCAAAGTCAGGAAAAAAAAAAGTACCCGGGAAGCTGAGTCTCTTGTGGTGTCGTCGCACAGACAGATACAGAAAGATACGCGTTGTGTAGATTCACAGATTATTAATCTCAATTTAGACATCCAAATGAGATTAATTAAAGAACAATCTGTTGCAAACCAGAGAATGCATCAGTTTAAAAGGAAACGTTTAGAGGTGATCTGTGTCCTCGTCATTGTCGATTGATTCCATGTATTTGTGTGGATGCAGCCATCGATTGCTGACCTTTTGAGGCTGTATCCCACCTGTTCACCAGTTTGAATTCCTCCCAGACACCGCACTTAAATAATAGATGGGTAGATCATTCTTGAAGAATAGTTTTCAAACTACTCTCTTAGCCCTGCCACAGCTCTGTCTCTCAAACACTGGACAGCAGAGGACAACTGATGAGATGATTGCTTGTGGTCAAGGATTTGTTCTAGTTGTAATGTGAAATACTTCTTTCCTCACCGTAAAAAAAATTCAGAGCAGTTTGACGGCACTAAAATCAGTGATGAGTAATACTGAAGGTGATTACTATTAATTACTAAACTTCAATACAAGAGCACCAGACATGAATGGCTCGTGTGATTGGCTGTTTAAATGGATGTTTTATTTAATTTGTCTTTTGGTTACATGACTTTAAATTTCCCATTTCGACTGTTTTAGTTTTGTGATTTTTTTCCCCCCTCCCCCCAGGTTAATGGAGCCCTCAGGATACCTCACTGATGGTCCAATCAACTACAAGTACAAAACAAAGTGCACCTGGCTCATTGAGGGCTAGTAAGTACCTCTGAAAATAAAGTGTGTTCAACTGGAGATGAGTGAAGCTGGGTCTGGTTTGAAGGTTCAGAATGTTTCTTTGTGGTGTTGGATATAAAATCCTTCATAGAGAGGACGGTCATTGTGAGGTCGGCGCTGTTAGGAAACTTGGAAACCAGGATAAGAGTGGAGGGAGCCTGAAATCATCAGTGCATTAAAGTATCTAGTTTACGAAGTACTGAACTAAAGTGGTTTTGTTTGGTCACATTCTCAAATGATGTTTCACTTTCATTATGATCAGTGCTATGTTAGAACCGAAACTTCACATTTTTGGAAAATCTATTAATGATACTTGAGTATGTTTTTGAATATAAATAGAGGAATTTATTTGGTTTTTCAGTTTTAGCAAGTGTGTGAAGAAATGATTCCAGTATTGTTGTCCATTAAAACTACAGTTAAATTTGGCCTGGTTGTTTGCACCCTGCAGATATTTTCATGAAACCTGAACCTTATTTCCTTGTTGTTGTCTCTTTTTGTTTCTCCTTCAGTCCAAATGCTGTTCTTCGGTTGAGATTTAACCACTTTGCCACAGAATGTAGTTGGGACCATATGTACGTCTATGATGGCGACTCGATATACGCTCCTCTCGTTGCTGTTTTCAGGTGAGAAACTCCAATGTGACCTGAATTGTATCTGAGCTAGGCCCAGATTGTCAACAGGTGACAGACTATACTGATGTTTTTTAGTGCAGTACATCAGAAGTACAAATCTGAGGTCTGAGTGTCATTTCACAATTTACTTCCCTAGTCATTCTGATTTATCAGAGTTGTAAGACAGTGGTCTCATTTCCTTCTTTTGTCAATAGCGGTCTCATCGTGCCAGAGATACGAGGAAATGAGACGGTCCCTGAGGTCGAGACGACGTCAGGCTACGCACTACTACACTTTTTCAGTGATGCTGCCTATAACCTAACAGGATTTGAAATATTTTACTCGTAAGTATCCAGGCTCTGCATTTGAACTTAAACTAGGGGCAAAACATAAAATAAAACCTCTGTGGGGTTAGACTGCTACAAGAGGTTTCTGCAGAAATTAAAAGCTACAGCAAAAATTAAAATCTGGTCAATAGCTCATCATCTATTATTAGTCTTTTTTTTATCCCCCTCACCTTTGCCAAGAGCCTGATGATGCTCATTAATCTCCTTCAGTCCACAAGTAAAGGTCACTGTGTGGCCTAAAGAGTAAACACGGTGTTGGGTGAATGACAATGTCTTTCTGGCCAGGATCAACTCTTGTCCCAATAACTGCTCTGGCCATGGGAAGTGCACCCCCGGGAACTCGGTCGCCAGCAGAGTGTACTGTGAATGTGACAAGTACTGGAAAGGCGAGGCCTGTGACATCCCCTACTGCAGAAACAACTGCGGCAGCCCTGACCACGGCTATTGCGACCTCACCGGGGAGAAGCTGTGCGTGTGCAATGACAGCTGGCAAGGTAAGAGTTGGCTTTGTCCGAACCTCTCAGTTGATCGGAAATATTCTGATTGTTTAGGAAAAAAGAAATGATGCCGGTACCAGAGGATAGTGATGTAAGAAAAATGTAAAGCAAATGATGCTCAGTAAAGTCAACTGGCATGGAACCTATCTGGACAAATTGGTTGGGATTTGATCACATCTAAATCCATCAAAAACATATAATCAAACCTGAAATAATCCAATTAATATGCTTGAAAAGATATATTGTGGTTTTAGCTTTTAACTTTTCTAAATTCTAACAGTTTGTCATTCAGAAAACCAAAACAAACTCAACTTTGTTTAATAGAAAAGCATTGCACTTTTGCATTCACAGGCTGAAAAACTGTCATTCATGGTGATTATCTAGTGAGACGTCATGAAGAGTGTGTGAGCGGAATAGTTTTGAACAGGTTGTGTTGTGTCATAATGCTGATTGCGGACGTGCCGATAAGCTCCGCAGCAGTGCGTTATTACGCGGCTCTGGCTGGAGGGGAGCAAATGCTTTTACGTGATGAAACTTGACAGAATCATTAGCAGAGACAAGCTTGTTTTTCAGCCTGGCCTCATTCACACAGTTAAACATTTTCACACCTCCCTGTCTGTCATGCTCATGTAAGAGGTGCTCATGTTTTTGTTGTCAGTTAGAGAATGTCATGCTTGCTCTTCAAAATTGGGGTGAAGACATGAAAATATGTGTCAGATTCCAGCATTAAAAACATCTAACATTAAATATCAGACAGCTGCACTGCCATAAAATCAAATGTTTTTTTATTTTTGAGATATTGAGCTGAATTCTTGAAGTAACACGTTCTTCTTTTTAACGTGTACCGTAATCTCTCTTTCTGTCTCGTAGGTCCAGACTGCTCTCTGACTGTACCTTCAACCGAGTCCTTTTGGGTCCTACCAAGTGTCAAACCCTTTGGCACGTCACTCGCCAGAGCGTCCCATAAGGCCGTGGTGCAGGAAAAGGTGATGTGGGTGGTGGGCGGTTACACCTTCAACTACAGCTCCTTCCAGATGATTCTCAAGTAAGTCACAGTGAATCAACATGTCCTGAGCTCTTGGTTGTTTTATCTGTCCTTCTGACAAGCACATCAACTCTACTGTCCTTACATGTACTCAGACTATATTGATTTACATCAGTAAAACCAGCAGTGTCATTGTTTTTAATTCTCATGTGTGGAAATAATGTCTGTCATGAGGAAGTGCTGTTTCGCAAGTCCCTTGAAGAAAAAAACCCATCTCATTATCAGGGCTCCTTTTCTCTGTGTGGTTTGAGTTTTGGGTATTTAGTGTAGCAGGCTGGTTCTGCAGCAGTAATGCTGAACTGACTTCTCTCCGCCTCCTTCATGTAGCGGCTCAGAGTTAATTGACCTTTCTCTTCTTTGTTGCCTGTTCAAGCGTTTTCCATCTGCTCAGTGTTTTCTCATCACCAGTTGCTTTTGCTCCAGGGTAGATCACCAATATGATGACATGACTTGGTTCCCTGTTTGTTTTATTTTGAATATGTGTTGAAAGCATTTCCTTTACGTGAAGCTACCAACTTTGGTCATCCATTCACAAAATGTGAAACTATTGTTTGCCTTTATTATAGCAGCTGATCATAAGTTAAAATACATACGAAGTTAAGGGAGACAAGTTAATGTGTTTTGTTTTCTTTACAAATGATCAAAGTGTGTAATGATCTGTTGCTTTGCTTTGTAGCTACAACCTGGAGAGTGGCATCTGGAACACAGTACCCATCAATAGTGGCCCCGTGCCAAGATACGGCCACTCTCTCGCTGCCTTCCAGGTAAACACACAAACACATACGTGCCTCAGATTGTCTAAGGAATTTAAAAACCGCAACTGGTGGTTTGGGCTGAAGGAGAATCAGATGGGGTGAAAGGGAAAGTAAAGATCACCGAAACAAACGGAAACCACCACTGTTGCTCTAAAAAGGGAAACTGCCTGTTTTAACATTTCATGGTCCAAATACCAAAATGATTCAATTACAGAGGCGAGGAAACAAATCAAATCAGATCTGGTTCATTTATGTATCACAACAATAGCATAGCGAGTGAAATGACAACGGTAGTAAAAGCACAAATAATAGAGAGGAAGAACAATGAAAGACAATAAGATACAACATGATTAACAGTAATGTCACACAAAACAAAACATGCAGAAACCAGTCTTTTCTTTTTTCAGGATGATATCTTCATGTTCGGTGGGAAACTAGAGGCCGGGTGGGGGAACGTGACAGACGAGTTGTGGGTGTTCAACGTGCCCAGTCGAACGTGGCAGCGGAGGAACCCTGTGGTCGGTCCGCTGGCCCAGGCTCAGATTTACGCTGTGGAGGGACACTCAGCCCACTGCGTCCCGCTGGAGGGCGGTGGTGCCATCATGCTGGTCATCTTTGGCTACTCCCCCATCTACAGCTACATCAGCAACGTTCAGGAATACAACCTGAGTGAGTCACAGCTGCTGTCGCTCTGTCGGCTCGCTGCATCTTCTCCAGAAACGCATGACATCTGTTACAGTTTTAGAAGATGGGGACCGCTTGGAGCTTGAACTAAAGCTAGTTGGCTTTCATTATCTACAGATCTGAAGAGAATATCTCATAAACTTCAAATATTTATGATGCGATATGGAGTCTGTACTGTATATATTAATATCTATCTGTCTATCTATCTATATAATAAACATTATTCAAATCCTAGTAGACTTCTCGCTCCAAATTGCTAATTAGTGATGACAAAAACAACAAATTTCCCAATTTAATTGTTGTTGACTAGAAACAATGTGATTTCTTTGGCAATGAGATGAACAATTAAAGGAGGAAAAAAAAGAAAACCAAAACCTAGAAATGCACATAACAAAACTGTACTAACCCTCACTGCCAAGCAATGAATGTTTGAAGATTGGGATGACAACGTTTTTTTTCATTTGAATCCACTTCTCAGTCTTGGAATAAAAATCTTTTTAGATTTATAATGAAATCTGTTTTTAAAGCTCCATTTATATACCTTCTTTTTTTAGGATCCAACACGTGGTTGGTACCTGAGACCAAAGGTGCCGTTCCACAAGGTGGTTACGGTCACAGCAGCACGTTCGACAGCTCCAGTGGCAGTGTGTACGTTCACGGAGGTTACAAGGCCCTGCCTGCCAACAAATACGGCCTTGTTGATGACCTCTACCGCTACGATGTTAACACTCGGACGTGGTAAATCAACACACAGTGTTCTGCTGTCTTAGTTCATCCTGTACTCCAGTCTGTGTATATAACACTGGGTACCCTGTTCTCGTCAGCTCGCCCTTGACACTCTTGTCACGAATTACGTTCCAGGTTCATCCTGAGAGAGAGCGGCTTTCCACGATACCTGCACTCAGCTGTGCTCCTCAGCGGCACACTGCTCATCTTTGGTGGCAACACACACAACGACACCTCCCTCAGCAACGGGGCCAAGTGTTTCTCTGCTGACTTCCTTTCCTACGACATCGGTAGGACTCCTCACACCTGACATCACGCCCCAGTGTCTCTTTTAGTGGCTTCATATTGTACCTAAAAATAATCTCTTGCCACTTTTACATTAAAAGTTAATGAAATCTACTCAGATTAGAGTGCTTTCATACTCATGTGTATGTTATTAATAATTTTTAAATAACATCTAATGAGCTTTTTATGGCCATACTAAAAACACATTGCCTTTTTCCCTCCCTCTTTCATCATCCCCATCTTCTGTGTCTATTATCCACTTTAGTCTCAGCAGAACCAGTAATTATAATTGTAGAAAAGTAATGAATAACATGTAATCACAAAGGCAAAACAAATGCTCACTGTATGGTCTCTTGTTTTCTTGTCCTGCTAAGCCTGTGATGAGTGGAGGCTCCTGCCTAAACCAGACCTGCACAGAGATGTGAACCGCTTCGGTCACTCTGCGGTGGTCAGCAATGGGTGAGTCTTTCAAATGGAATCTTCTCTCAGACCGAGGCTGACAACTCCAGCAGGTCTGACAATAAACTTTCGTTTCTTTTCATGTGTTTTCCTCTCTAGGTCCATGTATTTGTTTGGCGGCTTCTCTGGAGTGCTGCTCAACGATGTGCTCGTCTACCGACCCCCGAGCTGCCAGGCCTTTTTGGCAGAGGAAGGGTGCGCGAACACCGGGCCGGGGGTCCGCTGCATCTGGAGCAGAGGCCACTGTCTCCCCTGGGAGCCCAGCATGGCCAATGGCAGCCTCACTCCTGCCCCATTCTGCCCCCCGAAAGCTGGTGAGAACGACACCAATACATTTCAGAGCTTATCATTTCTGAATGATCCAGACCTTCCAGATCTGCCAAAGCATGACTGATGGTCGACTTTAAATGGACAATTATAATTTTACAGCCCATCTGCTCTTCCTGTGAGGTCACTGGTGTTACTGGTTACTTTTAAACTGGAATTATATAGATATAAGTTTTCTTCAGATTTCAGGGCCTTGGAAAGAAATTACCATACACAAACACTCTTTTGTCTTTCTTTTTAGTCACAGTGGACGAGCGGTGCTACCGGTTCTCAGACTGTGCCAGCTGTTCAGCCAACACCAACGGGTGCCAGTGGTGTGACGACAAAAAGTGCATCTCTGCTATCAGCAATTGCACATCTGTAAGTGGCCCAGCAGGGGGCGTTAGAGCACTTCTGGTCTGGTGATTAGCTCTTGGACACACTCACTCAGACAAACATGCAAACATTCACACTTTTCCTCTGGATTTTGTGAGCTGAAGATATTGAAATGTACATTGACAAATAAATGAGAATACAAGTTTTCAGCTTCTGTTAATCGTCCCCCTGTCTCGTCTATTCTCTCCTCTCGTGTTGTAGAACGTTAAGAACTTCACTGAGTGTCCAGTGCGGAACGAGCAGGTGTGCAGCAAGCTCGCCAACTGCAAGAGCTGCTCGCTGAATCTCAACTGTCAGTGGGACCAGAACCAGCCAGAGTGCCATGCTTTGCCTGGTAAAAAAAGACACAGGCTCTCCACTCACACTGTCTTATTGAATGTTTTGGATTAATTTCTCGCTCACATACAAGAAAAATGTTCTGTTAAAGTGGTTTTGTCTGTAAAGGCTTGAGGAGAGTAGACCTATGTTCTCGATAACATTTCACATGTTTTCTGACATCATCTTACATCTTTGTTCCAGCCCAACAGTGCAGCGAGGGTTGGAGCCAGGTGGGCGAGGCCTGCCTGAGGATCAACTCCAGCCGCGAGAGTTACGACAACGCCCAGCACTACTGCAAGAACCTCAACGGAAACATTGCATCGCTCACCACCTCCAAACAAGTGGACTTCGTGCTTGAGGAGCTCAAGAAGCTCCAGCAGCAGGACATGGTAAAAATATACGAAAATATACAAATACATGAGAGAAAACTAGAGAAATCAGACACATCCTGAGAAGTTTTGCGATTGAGTGTGATGTTCACCACTCGTGTGGTTGACAGGAGAGAACAGGAAGAGGTTATCTGCTGGTCGAGTATGTCAGTAAATCTGTGTAATGAATTCTGAGGGGATTTTTCTCCTGGCCCTCTTTTTTACCTCATGCAGTTTTCAGCTGACAGTGACACCAACTGCACAGTTTGTTTTTGACCTGAATTACAAGTAGAAGCAATGCCAGATTTTACATATACTTGTCCCTGAGATACTGCACCTAATGAGTCAGACTGTGGCAGGCACACACTCACTTGGTTTTCTTTTGTTGTGAAATGTTTTATGTGATGTTTCTTCTCTCTGCTTTATGTACAAACCAGGGTCAAATGACTCACTGTCTGTAGGAACAATCATGAGCATTAAATGAGTTGCACACAGCTGAATCTCAATCTCCAACTTTTAATAAAGTAAAGCATCCATCCTTTACTTTATTTCAGTTTTCAAATCGAGGTTCAAACACAATTATGACTATGAATGAAAATCAGTTTTGCTCAAATCTGCTCTTTTCACAAGGATTTAATTTGCTGAGTTGAATCCAATTTGTTTGTTCTATTAAAAAAAACTTGACATGACATTTCCGGAAATCATATCTGTGAAATTCCTTTCAGTTCACTTTCAATACCATCTTTGGATTCCAGGTGTAAATGCAGTTACCAAAAATTCATTAAATGCAGGATGGAGCTGAAAGGCCTTTAAATCCCCATTCACTTTTTTCCGGGCCTTGCTGTTTGTTTAGCCCTTTGTCTTGTCTTGTCTCCACAGCGACTGTCCCCCTGGGTTGGTCTTAGGAAAATCAACGTGTCGTACTGGGGCTGGGAGGACATGTCCCCGTTCACCAACAGCAGCCTGCGCTGGCTGCCCGGCGAACCCAGCGACTCAGGTTTCTGTGCCTACCTGGAGGAGCCCCTGGTCTCAGGCCTGAGAGCCAATCCATGCACTGCCACAGCCCACGGCCTCATCTGTGAAAAAGCAGCTGGTGAGATGCCCAGACTACATTAACATCAAACAGGAATCACAACCTGATTGGTAAAAAATACTCATCATCCTTCTGTATTTCCTGTACAGGAAACCCCAATCAGAGTACCCGACCATCCTGCAAGAAGCCGTGTTCGCTGCACACCAACTGTGGTAACTGCACCAGCCAGGCCATGGAGTGTATGTGGTGCGGCAGTGCTAAGCGCTGTGTCGACTCCACTGCCTATGTCATCTCTTTTCCCTATGGCCAGTGTCTGGAGTGGCAGACTGGAGATTGTGTGGGTAAGTGTCTTTTACTGAACTTAATCTAGACGAGGCTTCTTTGAAGTCTAGTCGGGCAATAAAATGTCCGGCACTAAGCTTTCCTATATTGGGTTCTGTTTGCAGTCAATATTCATCACTGAGAGAGGGAAGGTTAAGGGAGGAAAAATGGCTTAAGGTGGAAGCTGTTTGTGTCCATGGGAAAACGGTATTAGTTTCCTGTGATTGGCTTTAGAGGCAGTTTTTGGTTTGTAATGGCCAATTACTCTCGCATATAGTCGCCCCAACTGTTAGATTTCCCTGCTGACCCTGCTGCTGACTTTGTTCCATTAGGTGGAGTTAAGTAGTTTAAAAACAGTCGTGCATCAAGGCACTGATTAAGGGTTGACTGCAAAAACTGAGAGTATAATTGTTGCCTGCGCTGCACATACAGTAATGTCAATATTAATGATTCTTCATGACACAATTAAGTTAATAACAATACTCTAATATACTACCCAACTTAAAGTTTGCCCTTGATATAAAATGACAGTTCACTCCTATAGATTCAGAATAATTCAAATGATCTGTTATTACCATAGACTGTGGTTATTACATGAGTGGCTCTCATGCTGGTGGTCAGGACCTTCCTATGGAGGTCACGTTAGGAAGAATGTGTTTCTGCTACTTATAATGTGACATTTCTATCTTTGCATTTTTACCTTTCTGCTGCCTGAACTTTCAACACATCTAGTATCTTCAAAAGTTTCATATCACAACACTCTGTACAACCCAAGCTAGGTATCATTTAAAAGTACAAATAGCTAAATAAACACATGAAGAAAGTTTCTCAACACTTTTTTGTGAGTTTTTGACATGAGTCTGGAGCCAATTTTTCTCAGTTCCTCTCCTGCCACTCACATTATCATTTGCACCACACGTAATGAAACGTTATAACGTCATCAGGAGCATACAGCGTGATGAGGCGGAAGGAGGAAATGGCTTTCTGCTAAAAAAAGAATGAATGCTGTAATTATAATGGATATTAACATTTCAGGGCTTGCGATTATTGTACAGTTTGTTGCCAATTCATCCAGCACATGTTTGAATAACTGTGCTCCATAGACAAAGAAACACACAAAGGACAAAACAGTGAATAAAAGCAGCAGCAATAACGTTCGTGGTACGATACAGATCAACACCCTGCAACAAAACACAACCTCCATTATTATTCTCTTGATGATCCAAAAGTGAACACGGACACACACACACAGAGGTGAAACAATATTTCCATTGCACGTTGGTAAGTTGATCAGAGAGCTCCTTTATCTGGAGGTCAGTTTAGTTGTTCAGGTCGATGCTGTTGTTGCTTCGTGATGTATGAATTATAGCGGCAGTCGTGTCAGATCGTAAAAACATCTCTGATCAGTTTAGTGAGTAACAAATTTAAGGAGCCCAAGGGTACAGTCTGAAATTTCTTGTGTCTGGCGCTGCTGGGTAACACCGAGGGTTTCCTGTGCCGTGTGGATATTCGTCTTGTGGAATTCGCCCCTTTCTGGCATGAAGGACGGAGAAGGTTGTCGTATTAAATTCTCGCCGTATTTTCTTCTCCCTCAGTTTGAGAGTGAATGTGAAGAGGCAAAGTCAGACAGAACAAAGTTTCAATCATCCACTCAGTCCCTTCCTCCTCATGAACATGTGGCTGAGTGTGCTGCATAAATGCACTTAAAGAGCTGGGATCAAACAGTCTTTAGTATTGCTGCCTGTAGGGGCACTTTACGGAGCGGATAGTGTCATAGTTGAGGCTCTCAGTAGAGAATCATCCAATTTTGCAGATCTGAGGTGGCACAAGAGGTCATTTGAAAAATACTAATCGTTTGTGGTACCTTGTTGATTTCTTTTGTGAAATCACTTTTTATGTACGGCTTTAATCTAATAACTGTCATGTAATTTATAATCTAAAATGCCTCTTCAGCCTCTGTTTAACTGCGTCTGACCACAGCACAAAACCACAGCAGACACGTGGTCATTTGTACCAGGAACACACTGTCCACTCTATCTCATCCGCATGGGTCAAGAAAGGTGAATTCCCTGAAGCTGCATGTAGTTCAGACAGAATTCAAAACATTCAAGGTCAAGTTGACTTTCCTTTTTTCCCTCAGAGCGCTTTCCTCGCTCCTTGAATCTGTTATATTCGAACTGGCCGTCTCTGCTCCCTAAACCAAGTCCACTGTTCCAGGTTGTGCGGCCATGTTGCTGAAATGTTTCTGTTAATTGATTAACTCTTTCGTGAAGAAGGCCAGGAGTGTCTCTTCAGTCAGTTTCAGCCCTTGAACTCCAAGAGGCGCTCTAGAATCGCTTTGGCAACTCGAAATGTATTCAAAAAGTCCCTCATCTCTAATGGCATCACTGTTCTTGACTGTGCGAAGTGACTGATGAGATTGAAGCCACAGACGTTGACTTGAACTGTTTTGAACGTGCAATGTGACCTTGTCCATGTGTTTGTTTTTAAATGCTTGCTGGTTCTCTTCTGTTGTTTTTCTTTGTGTTTGAAAGAACTGCAGATCTATTCTACACTATCACTGGCTTTTAAACTGTCTTTGGATCAAATTAAACACGATTTTTTTTCCTGCCTTCCTCTCACAATGATCTGATCGTTTCCTGAAAAAAGAATTAATTGAGAAAAAAATAATTAGAAGATCAACTGATTAAAATCTGCAGCTTTAGCCTGGAGACAGCTGTCAAAAGTGGCTGCCCCCTTTCCAGTGGTTTATTAGTTGATTTTATTGCAAATGATTGCAGTGACTCCTTTTGCCATTAACTGGAAACTAATCCATCATGGTATTCACAAATCTTTGTCTGTAAAAACTAAGATCTCAAAAATCCAGTAATTTTTGAGAAAATATCTATTTTTTAAATTTGACAGAAGTTAGCATAGTAAAAGCATTACAGCTGAATTTGAAGACGTTAAATTATTTGCATGTCACTCTGCAAATCTACAGTCGCAGGGTTGATTGCCAGGTGCATTAATGTGTCAAGAGACAGGGAAAACTTATATTTGCTCACATTACCCTCGGATATGCAAAACCATGTGTCTGAGCGGTGAAATTGTTATTTTGCTCAGTGATCTTTGTACTCTCGGTGCAATGCAATCCAGCAAAAACAACTTTGCAAGCAGTGAAGCGTCCTGCAGACACAGGTCGTAAAGTAAATGCAACCACGAGATGCTACAGGAAGTTCAATAAGCGGATCATATAAAATCTGACATTGTAGAGTTTAACCTCAGAAGTCACATTTTGATCTAATTTGCAGCTGCAGACAGATTTGAATTTAAACCCATTTACATGTGAAAATGGCCTTGGAAGCTTCCTGTAAATACATTCAGACCTGTCGGATATTTTTTCCCGTCTGGCTGATGAAAACTGTTTAAGCTGGATGAAACGAGACGTACTCAGCTGGTCAGCCCCCATCATGATCACCATCCAATTAATGTTATAGCCTCAGATTCATGGTGCAGGCTCACGCTTACCGATTTATCTGTCAAAATCCGATGCTAAAGATCTGCCCTCTGTTTGTGTGGTAGATTATGTATCTCGACTTGCTTTTGTGTTGTGGCAAGACAAGTCCCCATCCAGCTACTTATTTTCTCAGAATGGTATGTTCCCGAGAAATGTGCCACTTTCGCCCTGTCGTCAAAACAAACTTAAATGGCCTTACTTTGCACTGATTGCTCTTGTGTTGTCATGGTTTCGCATCCATTAGTGGAATAGCTGGAGATTTGTCTGACATAAACCGAGGTAAAAGCACTCAACGTTTGTCTCCTTAAAATAGTAGTGACATTTTCTCCGCTAAAGTGTCTGTCTGGCAGGCAACACTGAAACTTGTCAAGCAATTTGGTGGCCTACAAGTTCATCCCCCCCGCCGACAAAACGCCATCGCTCCCTCGCTCCCGTGGGTTTCTGAGTTTGGAGCAAGGTGCCACTTCACATTTCAGCCTTTCATTGAACTTTGTTCTTAAATCACAAACATTTCACAGGCGCAGGTTTGCTGACACATTTTCGGTCTCATTCTGTGGCTCTCCATCAACTGTGTAATGCTGGAGACCTGTTTCTTATCCTCTTATCTGCTCTCAAATCTGTGGTCCTGACAGCTCACTAGATAACCATTTTGTGTCACAGTACAAACAGCATTGAAGCGCTTTAATCTGCAGCTCCTGTAGAGGATAAGAAAGGACTTTAATTGTGTATCAAAAAGGCCGAAATCCTACAAAATAATCCTGAGAGCGACATCCTGCGGGATTTTATTTTCTGTAACATCTGCAGCTGCTGAATTTTTACTGGAGCAGGAAGTCTCAAGGTGACTGGGAAATAAATGCTGCAATGAAAAAAATGGACAAATGTGGCTGATAAAATTCTTGGACTCTGGGGAGGTTAAATCATTTTGGAATGGAGTCAACAAGAACTGCAACAAAACACAAAACTTGCTGGTAAGAAATATAACACACGTCTCTTCTCTCCTTCAGCTCAGAACTGTTCGGGCCTGCAGACGTGTTCCCAGTGCTTGGAGCAACCCGAGTGCGGCTGGTGCGGAGATCCCAGCAACACCGGAAAGGGATTGTGCATGGAGGGCTCATACCGGGGACCCATGAAGAGAACAGCGAAGCAGGGCCAGCCGGGCCAGTCCCACGACATGAGTCTGGAGCCGGGCATTTGCCCCAAAGACAAGGGCTATGAGTGGGCCTTCATTCACTGCCCTGGTAAGGCATCCATTTCCTGTCCCTCTTACTGAAATGACACATCACGTGTCGTAAGTGTATCTGTGAGAGAAGTATCGACTGTAACATCTTCAGTTTAAAAAGATGCTCTTATCAAGGATTCCTGTTACAGCTTCCCCGTGAAACTAATCCCTCCCTGGTGACTTCATGCAACCTTATTCTAATATGAATGCTCTCATCAGTCTCTGCAACCACGACATGTTAAATGATAAAAACCCACCGCTGGTGGTAATTTGAGAATGTGAGGCGTGGTCTGTTGCTTAGTTTTATCATTATTGTGTAAAAAACCTTGAGCTATATTTCATTTAATTAAAAAAAGTCATATTTAAAGGGGTGATATTTGATCTCATATTGGTTTTTGTATGATTGTGTGACACAACCGTGAAACAGTCGCCCATGTGACTTGCAGACGGATAAAGATTGTCACAGTGTGCTGGCAGAATTTCCCCGTCTTGTCCAAATTCATTAAAAATAAAAATCCATGTTTGTTCCACCTTGAGTTCTTCTCTGCTCCCTCAGCTGCAGATATTTACAGCTGTGAAACTCACCCTGATGTGTTCTTCTCCGCAGCCTGCCAGTGTAACGGCCACAGCACGTGTGTGAACGGCAGCGTGTGTGAACAGTGCCGCAACCTCACCACCGGTCTTCACTGCCAGACCTGCATGCCTGGTTACCATGGGGACCCGACCAATGGCGGCAAATGCCAGGGTGAGTGCCGCATCGCCACACAAATTACTTATTCTGCACGCACACGGCTTAATGGACTTGCTCACCTTTTCCCCCTCAACTGTACATTTGTTATAATTGCATTTAAACAAATACATTTGAAATTATCTTTTCTATTTTCTTTTTCCTGGTACCTGAACCACAATTAAGCTTTAAGAAGAAAATCATATACTTAGTGCATTTTAATTAGTATGTGGTTTAATAAACTTGCAGTATTACAGCAACATGACCAAGAGAGGGCACTGTTGTGTGTTAATTAGAATTAGAGACAAATTGTCTGTCTTGTTTGATTAATGGAAATAATGCACCATATGTTTTTAATAGATGTCTTGACTATTCTGATAAATTTTTGGTTCTGCCAGTAAGTAAATGTAGATGTATAGAATAGAAAAGTGAAGCTAACCTGTGTTCCCTGTGACAAACACTCCCTGTGAGTGCAGAGTAGATGTGGTGCACTGTGGGAACTGCAGGTGAAGCTGAAGGTCAAACACTCACCTCTCATGTTACTGTGGTTTTTCATTCATTAGACACAGAGCCCCTTTGGACAAAAAGACACATGAACAACATGTATGTCTTTCGGATGAAGGGATATAAATTCTTACACACAGATGTGTCGTACAGAGCTTTTTGGCCGGCGTTTTAAAAGCAGCAGTTTCAGATTTCCACAGATAAAATACTTGATTCATTCAATACTTGTATTCATTGTGTGGTTTTCAGGTTTCATTGGACGTACAAATGACGCGGCATCTAGCATCTATCCAAACTCTTATTTCCTATTGAGGAATGGGTTTAAATGCAACACAAGAATGCACATCAAATCTATATTAATCAATAAATGAATAACAGTCGCTCTATGGAATCATTTGCAGATTGACTGAAGACTGCTAACACAGCCAAGAAGACACTTGTCCCACACATGAATAACATTCCTGAGAAATTACATGGAGGCTATTCATTGTGAGACATGGGACACACACACACACACACACACACACACACACACACACACACA